CTGATGGGTTTCTGGTCTCAGTCTCTAGTTTCAGTCTTCTTCCATACAGCATGATGTTCATTTAGTAACTGATGGTCCCATTTAGAGTAAAACAGACCATAAAGCAGGGTATGCTTTAGGGCGGGGCTACCTTGTGATTGACAGCTCATTCTCAGTGAGTCCGTCCAGCTCAACGCACCAAACTCAGATCAAACTGTCAAACAGTGCTGATCAGATATGGATCCAGACTCTGTTACTGCATTGACTTCAGTAAACTGTTTATCTGGAATACGAGATCTTGTGTGACCAGGCGAGCCGCCATTGTTACCTGATACTGACGAGATGAAACTGTGCAGCCAATGAGAGCAGCTCAACTCGCAGTACATCGCCTCCTCTGGCTCCAACAAACTGTAATGGTGACAACCGAAATGCCAAACTGGAGGCTTCAGAGCGGTTCTCCAGAGACCGATAGGTGACGCCATGATAGTTTCAGTCACCAACCATTACTCGCCCTTTCTTCGGGTTTGTCCAAAGGTCTAAAAACAAAGTTATTTCCCTGAGCTCTGCAGCGTCCAGCGCTGTCCCTTTTTACCAGCTGAGAGTCAATCATTCAGTTTACACTTGCATTGCATTGTGGGACAACAGTATACAAACTCAAACATCGAGCAGATCCCGTCTGCATCCTGACAGGAGTATATTATTCATCAGCAGTCCTTCTCCTCTTTCCCTGACTGACATCTCAGATGAATGAGCGAAGGAGCTCTCAGGGCGTCTTCTCGGTTTGATTTGAAGAGCTCCTCAGCTGCTCGGAAAATCATCTGAAGACCATTCTGGCATTTCCAAAACACACGAGAGCGAGCGAGAGAGAGAGAGAGAGAGAGAGTCTCTTACAGCACCCACTTTTGTTTTTCTCTTCAGTCCTGACAAGTTGACATTTTGGAGGTTTTCATTCTGCTGCACCTATAAATTATTTCTTTGTTCCATCTTTTGTTCTTAAAAGAATAATGAAGCATGAAAACACACACGGCCGTCTTTGAATCGCTGCCGTATGCGTGTTAAAGTCTACAAACAGCTGGTTCTCAGTGCGTTCTGCAGCTACAGGTTATTTACGTCCAACATATGTTTGTCCCCGTTTTGTCTGAGCTCTGAAGTTGACAAAAACACCCACATTTGACGGGTTCTTCTTTGAAGCTACAAGATGTTTACAATGAGTGAAATATTCAGACTCCTTGTGGATTTATGTGGAGCTGCTGCAGCACAGTTCAAACATGCAGGGAACTCTGGGTAATGCTGCCCTCTGGTGCACTCAGCACCAAACTACAGCAGAGCCTCCTAACTCATCAGGTTGTGTTTTTGTGTCTCAGACAGATCAGGAATATGATATTAATAGGTATCTTCTCATTTGTGTTTAATACCCTTTTATCTTCTACTGAGGACGCCATGTTTCTACAGTAGCCCAGATTTTTTGCGAGTTCTGTGGCCACTGAAGTTTCTTGGAAGGCTGAGCTGTATTCAAGTGGTTGCAATCTGCAACTTCACCACTAGATGCCACAAAATCCATTAACAAGGCTATAGGGTTGATAATCTCAGCAGTTATTCCTGTGGATGTGCCCTCACGTCTCTCACATCCAAACAATAACAAAAGATAAAGTGTGATGAGGTGGTAAAGCAGCGTGGGATCATGGGAGTTGTTGTCTTCACCACCATTGGCGTCATTGCAGTCAGCTTCTCCCGGTTAGGATTCCTTCAGTGTTCATGGTTCAGGAGGTTTCTACCGGGAGTCCAATGATCCACAGAGGTCTCCTCCTCTCCAACACAAACAGACCCGCTGATTAAAACCACTAAACACACTGAATAAAGCAGTTCCACCTTAAACACACTGAATAAAGCAGTTCCACCTTAACAATCACTGCTTCTCCCACGCTGTTGGACAGACAAAGGACGTCCCGGAGGGGCTGCGAGCCGAGCTGCTGCTAACGTTAGCTCAGCTTGTTTCTCTGATAACTTAAGATCCAGACGTCCGATGACTAAAATCCTTCATCCGGTTCAAATCTAGAGTTAAAAAGCACCAAGATCTAAACAGTGGATGGTAACAATGTGGCTTCAGACTGGATCAACAGTCAATGTATGACAGCTTCTGGCAGACAACCACAACGCTGACGCAGGCACAAAGGGGATATGACGCCATCGATGTACCGAGCAACGACCGCTCTCAGAAGATCTGTTGGTCGATCCAGGTGGTTTTTGATGGACAGTTTCAGCCGTGTATCAGTTATAGTAGCAATTTATTTAAGCCATAAAAGAGCAACAACACAAGTCGCAGTGTTCACAGACCTTGTGCATTGTGCTGGTAGTGGTACATTCTTGTACACAGTCGCTGGTGCACTAAGGTTAAAGTGTGTAAAGTGTATAATTAGCTCTCACAGTTCCATCGTGTTTCGTGGACACTTTGGAATCCAACAAACAGGCTGTTCACTCGGCTGCAGGTGATGTTACCTTGAAATGTTTTGATGTTGAATCATTTCAACGAGAGACTTAATCTGTTTGCATTCCTGAATGTTTGTGGATCAGCGGACTGAAGTCATATTGAGATAAAGTCTCCATCTCGTCCCACAGTATAAAAACCTTACAGGGACAGTTCACCTCAGAATCTCGACAGCAATCTCTCTCCTGAAATCATGACTGAATATAATCCACAGACCTTGTTGTGCGCAGCTTCTTCTCCAGGGTTCCCACCCAATCATGGAAACACCTGGATATTGATTAAAATGAGCAAAGTATCCTGGAAATAATCTGTGTTGTCCTAGAAATGGAAATGCCTGTTTGCATTCAGCCTATAAATGATCAGACTTGTGGCTGTGGTTGATAAATACATGCACAGTGATGTTATTTATACGTGCAACAAACACTTTCACTTTCTAAAAGAGGAATTTTCTGTGAAATAAAGTAAATTCTACTTGATCTGAACGAGAGGAATTAGAGGAAACCTATAAACGGTGAACACCAAGAGGGCTACCGGTAAATGATATGACTGTTTGTGTGCCAGTGTTGTCCTGTGTTATCAGGAAAAGTCCTGGAAAATGTCCTGGAAGGGTCCTGGAAAATGATCTCTTATAAAGAGCGGGAACCCTGAGGAACTACAGCCGCCAGCCGTAGCGGGCTGTTAGCGCTGAAGTAGCTGACGCTGTTAATGTTCCACTGGTTCCCAACCTCCTTATTAAGTGACCCTTTTTATATAATTTATTAAACTAACGACCTCTGACTAAGTCTTATATTTATGGATATTTCAAGATCACGATTTCTTTTTGGTTCCTCGAAGCTGTTTTAAAATTCATCGTCTGTGCTGCAGCTGATTTAAAAATCTATTAAACTGTTATTAAGAGGTTAAAGTGCTTTCAGCTGTAAGAATGGTTGATGGGTCACACTCTTTTTTATAAATAATCCTCAGATTTTAGGGAAACGCAACAAAAAACATAATGGAATTTTATTTAATTACCAAATCAGTCACATGCTCAGTTTAAACTGTATCAGTCGTTCTCCACTCGCAGCTGAATTCATCCATTAGCCGTAAAGGCTAAGGTTAGCTACCATTAATCTTCCAGTCTTACAGTAAACATCAGTATTCAGGGTGCACAGTGCTCCCGCTACACCAGCTAATGTTTTCTCACTTTAATTGCTTGCAGCTTAATGAAGCATTCCCGACCTTTACCGAAAGTCTGAGGG